AAAAACAGAAAAAATGAAATTGAGAATGTTGGTCTACCATAAAGGAATTTGTATTCTTATAAGTATTACATTGCTTTAAGAATGTACAATAATTAGAAACTGTTTAGATCCTCTCTTTTTCTCAATACATAGAATATTCAGAACATAATATTATAACTAGAGCTGAGCATTGCTTTCCTTTATCACCCAACATGATTCTCTTATATAAAGAATATGGCTGTAAGGACAAAGTTACAGATCACCAGATAAGAACAGTACAAAAAACAAACTATATAGGCAACTCTGGTAAAATTACTTTTAGCATTATATCAAAAAAGCCAATGAGAAATTCCCAGAAATATAAGAATGAGTCTCTATCCAGTGTAATTCATAACATTAACAAGGAAAAAATGTAATTTCATTATTCCTGATAAAAATCTTGATTAAAAAAATCCTCTTTAGGAATAAATGTCTCAACCTTATTAAGGATGTCTACTAAAAACTTACCAAAGAACAACAAAGTTAATATACACCAATAAAAGTATTTCCACCAAACACAGGAATAAGTCAAGAATGATTACTATCAATACTACTATTCAACACTGTATAAGAAATCCCAGTTACTGTACTCTAAAGTTATATTACAAAACTTTATTGAAATACATAAAAGATATAAATAAATGGAGAGAGATACTATCTTATGTTCCTGTGTGGAAACATTCCTTATTTATAAAGAAAGTTCTCAAAGTAATCATAAATTTAATAAATCTCAAACAAGACTTCTTAAATAGGATTTGATAACCTAAATTCAAAGTTCAAGAGTAATAATAACCAATATAATTTTTCAAAAGAAGGGTAATGAGGATACTTTATCCTATCAGATATCAAAACAAACTTTAGAAAACCAGTTATTTTCCTGAAAACAGGAAAAGAGATCAAAGGAACAGAATAGTCTAGAAAAAGACCCATGTAATATATACGAATTAGTTTATGATAAAAGTGACATTAGTAGGAAAAAAGGACTTTTCAAAAAAATGTGATAAATGCTTCTTCATTTGAAAAAAGAATAAACTTAGACCTATATCACAAATCGGAACACAAAAATTAAATCTTCCAAAAGAATCAGAAGTAAATACAGAAGAATAGTTTAAAGAATTTGAAGATAAAGCCTTCTGTCCTAAGACCTTAAAACCTAGAAGCTATAAAAAAGGCTGACACATTTTAAATCACAAAAATATTAAAGCTTTTTTATGACAAAAAACTCAAAGTGGAAAGACAAGAAAGAGCCTGGGATAAACTATTTCCAACATGCATAAACAAAAAATTTAAAATCAGACTGTCCTTTATATTATAAAACAGTAAGTATGAAAACTAGGCAAATATATAATAATTCACAGAAAAAAATATTAATGAGCAGCAGACATGTGAAATATGCTCAAGGTCTTAGGTAAATGCAAATTAGAATGGTACTTTTTTGACCACATAAGCATGAATTGACATCATTCTCACACATTCTAAAGCCTATTTTGAAAGTAACTTGACAGTTATCTAATAAAATTGTAAATCCAGAATTCTAGTTTTTGTAACCTATCCTGAAGGAATATTTGTATGTACGCACAAAGATGTATGTACAATAATGCTCATCATTGCACTGTTTTTATTAGCAAAACATTGGACTGGGTAAGTAAATTATGATGTATCTATATAGGTTTCTAGAGTAGTCAAATTCAGAGAAAGAGTTAGAATGGTGGTTGCCAGGGGTTAGGGGGAGAGAGTTATTGCTTAATGGGTAGAGTTTTAGTTTGAAATGATGGAAAAGTTCTGAATATGGGCGGTGGTGATGGTGGTGAATGTACTTAACACAACTGAACTGTACACTTAGAAACTGCTAAGCTGGTACATTTTGTTATGTATATTCTATCACAATAAAAAAAGTGTTGATCTAAATGTACTTATAAGGTAGTCTCCAATGTATACTTTT